TATATGTACATTTACTGTACATTACTGCGAGAAAGGATGTACATAAAATGAAATATGTACATTTGAAATATAACGCTGCATTAGCACTGCATTTATGCATTAGCACTCACTTGAAAGAATAAAGTCTAAAGCATTGTAATTTACAATGTAATTAAAAAAATAAAAAATTAAATGTACATAAAATATTATTTATTAAAAAGTATTACTTTTTTTATTTTTATTTAAAAGATGAGTACTTTAATTCAGCAAGGACACATTAAATTGTGACTTAAGTGACTTACATTTCTAGACAAAAAAAAAAAAGTCTACTGCAAATAAACACTTCTTTTGAACTTTCTATTCATCATCCTAAATATAATATCATGGTTTCCACAAAAATATTAAGCAGCACAACGGTTTTCAACTGTGATAAGAAGAATTGTTTCTTGATTTCTGACGGATCATGTGATACTGAAGACTGCAGAAATTGTGTAAAGTAACAGAGTAAAGAGTATTTTAAAATTACATTTTAAAATATTTTCAAATAGAAAAAAGTTATTTTAAATTCTAATGATATTTGACAATAATCCCTGTTTTTGCTGTATTTTTGATCAAATAAATTAAGCCTTGGTATAAATAAAATTTAAATATATTATACAATATGTATTTATCAAGTACTCAGTGAATAAATAAATAGATAAATAAAAACACATGGCAATATCTGCCTAGTTCATAATAATGAAACTAACATGAATCATCTTCTTAGTTGAAAATGACTTGAAATGCTCATTTCAATACACAAAACGAGACTTACAATCAGCTCTCCCTTCCTCTGCTGGCACATGAACAACCAACTGCACTCGGAAAAAAGAAGAAAAAAAAAAAAGAAGGAAAAAAGCCAGCCTGCTGCTGCATTGTTATGATGTTTTTAAGACAAAGCCTTGAAGTGGTAAATTATGGCACGGAGGCTGAGTGGGCATTCTGCAAGGACTTGGGCCCTGAATAATTCATGATGCTCAAAGAGCACTAGGATCACAAACAGCCCCTGAACCCCGATTTAGCGGTCTCAGCGCTCTGCCCCCTGATAGAGGCAGAGGATTCTGCAGTTGAGAGGAGGAATGCTGGGCGAGGGGAGACTATAGGTGCACTCAGGGACAAACTGTGGGTGGCCTGGAACCAGAGCGAGGCTAAAACACACACTTTTACACAGACGTATCATTGTAGAGCTAATAAGGGTTGGGCTGCGTAGTCCTTGCACTAGCAGGCATTCCTCAAAGGCTTATGCTGCACATGGGTTATCAAGCTGAGAGGAGACACTGAAAGAGAGAGCGGCTGAATAGGAGAGAGAAAGACAGATGGTCAGGGGCTATAGTGAAGTAATGTTAGATATCAATGGAATGCAAAGGCTTCAGATCTGAGCCCATTTATCATCCGGTCAAAAACAAAAGATCGGCGATGGCAAGGTGAAAAAGCGCTGTAACTGGAGGCGTGCACCATGTTAAAAGCAACTGAAAAGATTTGACAGAAATGGACGGATTCTAAAGACACAGAATAAGAGAGTTTCATGTTTATGCATAAAGAGTAACGTGTGCGCGAGTTTTTGTTATACACCAACGGTTGTTGTACATGTGCGAGGATAAATAAATGCTGCTCTTTTGAAGTATCATTTATCAAAGAATTCTAGAGAAAAAAAATGCATCACGGTTTCCACAAAAATATTACAATAACATTAACAATAATATTCCTTTCTTGAAAAGAAATGTTTTTTGAGCACTAAATCAGCTTATTAGAATGGTTTCTGAAAGATTTATGACTGCCTGAAGCAACTGCATTTTAAAATATATTAAAACAGATTTTTAAAAACAGCAATAATATTTCACAATATTACTGTTTTTACTGTATTCTGATCAAATAAACACAGCCTTGGTAAGCATAAGAGACTTTTTTCAGAAACATAAAAAAATCTCACCAACCCCAAACTTTTAAATAGAAGTGTATATGTAAATAGAATGGAAAGAATTCTCGAAAGTCTAAAACACTTTACTTTGTAAATTAAAACAATTACAAATTAAATATGCAATATTCTATTATATATATATTTATCAAATCAAAAAATTACAATAACATTTAAATTATATTTATGTATTTTATCATATATTTATGTAAATACTATATGTATTTATCAAGTGCTCTGTCACCCAGTGCAGGAAGGAAATAAATAATTCTGCCTGGTTCATAATCAAAATTACATGCATTATTTGCTTAGCGGAAAATAAAAAATGGCTATTACAGAACTAAAGACACTAACAATCAGCTCTAGCTTTCCTCCAGAGTGTGTGTGTGAACGTGTGTGCCGTGCATGTATGACCAACGGCTGCCGTACGTGTGCGAGGATGGAGGAAAGTGCTTATCTGTTTTTGGTTGTCCTGCTCCTGGGTGAGCGAGTGCATGTACATACGAATGACTTGCAAGTGTGAGCGCATGTTAACGCGTGTATGTGTGTGTGGGAGAAGACGGCAGAGAAAGTAGGTCAGCGCCTCGCCAAGGTTGTGTGCAGGCGTGCTGCTTACACAGGTCAGGGCGCTGCATGGGGTTGCTGTAGAAACAGGCTGTTACATCAGCCCCACCAAGGCCCTATGGAAGAGTATCACTCAGCCAGACAGACCAGTTCTCCTCCAACCAACCCTGACACAAGGAAATGCACTGGCCTGTAGTGTTGTCACGGTACCAAAATTTCAGTATTCGGTACCAATACCAGTGAAAATCCACGGTTCTCTGTACCAATTTCGGTACCAAAGCAAAACTCAAAAACATGCTAATTAAAAAATTTGACTATACTTTGATTTAATCCAAACTGTGTACATATTTAATTTTAAAGGGCTTTTGAAAACCTTCTAGAGTTATTCAGCCAAGAATAAAAACTAAGTTAGCTAAAAAAACAAAAACAAAAAAATAAACACAGAACTGCTTTTCTGACTGATATGACACAAACAATGTTAACCATTTGTACATTCTCTAACACGCATATTTTAGATAAAAAAAAACAAAAAAAACCCAGAACTGCTTTTCTGACTGATATGACGCAAACAATGTTAACCATTTGTACATTCTCTAACACGCATATTTTAGATTCACAATTCATTTAAAAGCCTCTGGTGTGTAAAAATAGTAAATATCATCATGTCCTCCTGTTTTTTTTACCCTAATAAAAGTTATAGGAGAAACTTTATTCTAATGCTCATTATATTAGCGTTAGCCGCACTTATGCTAACGATTAACTACTCTAATAACAGCGTTCATTTGAATAATGTTCATAACAGAAGCGGTGTTTCCCACAGACTTGCAGTCTATTTGTGGCAGCGTATATGCAAATTCATTCTCTGCCAGCAGGAGGCGCTTGTAAAAAAAAAAAGCCCAGAACTGCTTTTCTGACTGATATGACACAAACAATGTTAACCGTTTGTACATTCTCTAACATGCATATTTTAGAATAGATAGTGTAAAAATAGTAAATATCATGTCCTTCTGTTTTTTTTTACCCTAAAAGTTATAGGAGCATTACATAGTTAATAAAGAAACCTCATTCTAATGCTCATTATATTAGCGTTAGCCGCACTTATGCTAACGATTAACTACTCTAATAACAGCGTTCATTTCAATCCGGCATTCAAATTAAAATATTGAATAATATTCATAACAGAAGCGGTGTTTCCCCACAGACTTGCACTCTATTTGCAGCATATATATGCAAATTCATTCTCTGGCAGCAAGAGGCGCTTGTGGAGTGGGAGAGATAGAGGTTTCCCCAGTAACGGCTGTAATCAAATAAGCGCTGCGCTCACAAACGCAGGTATTACAGGCAAGATTAAATGAAAATTACATCCATCATTTTCTGAAGACAGTCGGTTTCCTTCAGAAATACAGTGATAAAAAAACACCCGCACTCAAGGTATGGGAAACACTGTAGTCTCATAATTGAAGTGTAAATTCTGCAGATTACATCATTGTCCAGTATTGTACTGTCAGCAATTTATAAAAACGTTTTCATAATTGTAACATACATCTTCACTCTATTTGTGGCGGCATATATATATGCAAATTCATTCTCTGCCAGCAGGAGGCGCTGTTGGAGTGGGAGAGATAGAGGTTTCCACAGTAACAGCTGTAATCAAATAAACGCTGCGCTCACACAAAAGCTGCTCAGGCATTACAGGCAAGATGAAATTAAAATGACATCCATAATTTTCTGAAGACACCCGCACCAGGTTTCGACTTTGACACGTGCAGTGCTCATGTTTATTCAACGAAGTCAAAGCCTTTTGGAAAATCTATTTGTGGCAGTGAGTTTTGATATCGTGACGGGCCTCCACAAATAAATCAATGTATGGGAAACACAAGATCTAAATATTAAAAATTAAAATGAAACTTACCTGCTTGAACTCTTTCATTTGATCTGGGTGTCTGTCTTTAAAGTTTTTTGTTAGTTTGGTGTGTTTCCTACTTTTGATGTTGCCATGTCTCAGTGCTTTTATGAAGAGAGCACATCTGCGCACCTTTCGGATAGCGCATCAAGAACCGGGTTGACCAGGTACTTGGTACTTAAAAAAAACCTGGCACCGTAACGTTTTCATTTTTTTAGTACCAACTTGGTACCGAAGTACCGGGTCTTTTGACAACACTACTGGCCTGCTATGTTACACCTAAAAACAACCCACTTTTGAACCTATATCATGCATTGCTCGTGACAGATAGTTTTGAGATGTGTTCATTTTATTTTTATTTAGCTATTAAGTTTAGCTTTTAGTTTTATTTATTAGGCTGTTTTGTGCACAGAGACCAGGGTTTGAATCTGGTCTGGGCTATGTGTTGATTCCCAATCCCACTGGCCTTTAACCTACTGGCAAAACCCAATAAAACTTAAATAAAGAAAGAAATAATAAAGAAATGGGGTAAAAATTCAAGTGTCTAAATGGTCTCTCTTATTCTAACATTTCAAATACTTTTTATAAACTTTTTTTTTTTTAAATGTATTGATAAGTTAACAAATGCTGTGAAAATTGATCTAAATTGGTATTTAGCTATGCTAAAATTAAAAATGTTTTTTAATCAACAAATTTAAAAAAATAATTTATTGGTAAACAAATAAAAAATCTTAACTGTCGCCCTTATTCTAACATTTAAAAGACTATTTGAATAAACAAATATTTAAAATGTTATTTATTTATAAAAAAAAACTAAACAAAAGAGTTCAAAAAAATGTTTTTCATTTATTGATAAATTAACAAATGCTGTAAAAATTAAAGTGTCTAAATTGTCACCCATATACTAAAATTATTTTTTTAATTAACACATTTAAAAAATAATAATTTATTGGTAAACAAAAACGAAAAATCTTAACTGTCACCCTTATTCTAGCATTTAAAAGACTATTTTATTAAACACTTTAAATATATATATATATTTATTGATAAACAAACATACAAATAACACAAATTTGATTTAAAAACTGAAGTGTCTAAACTGTCGCTCTTATTCTAACATTTAAACAACTATTTTAATAAACTAAATAATTATAAAAAACTTAACAAAACATTTTTTTTTCATTTATTGATAAATTAACAAACAAATGCTGTGAAAATTTAAATGTCTAAATTGTCACCCATATTCTAAATATAAAAAATGGTTTTAAATAAACAATTTTTAAAAAATGATTGGTAAACAAACAAAAAAATCTTAACTTTCGCCCTAAATCTAGCATTTAAAAGACTACTTTAATAAACAGCTTTTAAAATAAACAAACAAAAAACCACAAATGATTTAAAAACTGAAATGTCTAAACTGTCGCTCTTATTCTAACATTTAAAAGATGTCTTATAAACAGAGTTTAGTTAACAATCACAAAAAACTAACAAGAACATAAACACACAGACAAAAAATAATTTTTTGTTTACACTTCAAGCATGTCAGTTGTTAAAATAGACTCCTTCCCGCTATTCTTCCCGCCATTTGCTGCACTTCCTCTGACACACCTTGACTACACTATCAGCTGTCTGCTTGTAAGTCATTGTATTACATAAATGACATAACTCCTAAGATCTTATAAAACACTCAGTAATGTGAAACACTTCAAACTGGAGAGGAAAGACGATCTTATACTTCACCTGGGACCAGAGGTATCACATGGAGAGCCCTTCCTCTTCCGTGACTCTTGGGTGTTGGGGTCAAGGGCATTCTCTCCTGCAGCACTCATTTTCAGCATATGCACACCTGCAAAACAGGGTAGTTACAAGTCAGCCAATGGAGTCAAGTTAACCATTCTACTAAATAAACACAAAGCAGGAAAATTAAGTTAAATCATCCAGTGAAGAAAACAATAGAAATGAGTCAGTAACGGCCATTACTGAAATGAGTCAGTAACGGCAGTTGTCATTGTCTGATACCCATATGTTGTTGTTTATAACTGATTTGATAATATCATCTAGAACTATAAAATAATGGTGGAAACAGGATCCCAGGCACCACTTCGGACCAACAGGTTCTGGAAAACCAGCAAACTTCAAGTTAAACCAGTTCTGAAATAGTCCCATATTTCTGTAAACACTATGACAAGTAACATATCTCGACCTGATTAAGAGCAACAGTCAGATGCCACTAGCAATATGCATAAATCGATGGCTCCTTGCGGGGGGAATCGTAAATCTGCAGTGAAAGGGCTTGCTAATTGAAAGCCTTCTTTGATCTGTGGTGCTATTCACCCAGTGCTACCATCTAACCCATGCTGTGTACTGCTAGAAGAGGCAACCGCTGAACAGCCAATCGTGAGGATACTGTGTGCGTATAAAGGGCTGGTCACACTACACTTTTCGTTCCATTGACTTCCATTCATACGCATGCAAACGCAGCAGACAGAAAACGCAAGCTCATGCGAAGCTCAAGTTTGGTGAACTGCCCTGTGAATTTCTTACTACATGAAGATGTTAATGGAAGATTGCCGTAGCCTTCTAGCTGAACTAAAGTAATTCACACTTCAAATCTGCAGGACTGCAGCAAAGTGGAGATGACATATTTGTACATTTTGAATGTATTTGTAGAATTATGTTTTGTTTTTAAATGTAAAATTTTTGAGATATTATTTTCATTTCTGAATGAATTTTCATTCATTTCAAAAAATCTTCTAAACACTATAATGAAAATCAAGCTTTCTGATCAATCTCTTTTAGTAAAATCAACAAATTAAATTCATTACCAAAAAAAAAAAAACCGATGCACACACTGCTGTTTAAAAGTTTGGGGTCAATAGTTTTTTGTTTTTTTATACAAAATAGTAATATTGTGAAATATTATTACAATTTAAAATAACCACTTCTATTTGAATATTTAAAAAAATCATTCTAATATGCTGATTTAGTGCTAAAGAAACAACTCTTCGCTTAAGAAAAAACAGCATTTATTAGAATAAAAGTATAAAAAAGTGTTTCTTTCTTTCAAAGAAAAATAAAAAGACTGACCCCAAACTTTTGAACAGTAATGTACTTACAGATGTAATAATTTAAATGATTATATATAATTTTCTTTTCATATATTAGAAATGAGAATTAGATTTTATTCTGAAAAAAAAAACATTTTAGAAAATTCTACTCACAACATACAATTTTCTATGTCCTGTTTCTATGCAAATGTTCTCAGGTGTCCTCAGTGGCAGTATGTAACCATAGAAACAGGACACATTCAAGCTGCACATAAGAGAATCCTAAAGAGCATTCGCAGCATTATATGATAGTGATACAACAAACTTACATACCATTGCACAAAATACCAATGAAGCTATTCAGAACCAGTATATGTTGACTTGTCCAACACTTCATAACATAGAAAAACTCTGTAGCTACTGATATTGATTAAACAACCATGCTAGGATAGAAAGATAGAATTTATTCTAGCTAAAAAGACTTCAGTGGTGATGAAAAGCAAGGTCGTTACTGAAATACAAATAATATGGTGAATAAAGTTGGCTGTGGCTGAACTCAGATGAACTGCACTTAAATGGCAAGACCACACTTGGGACAGCACTAAATTCCACCAGATAAACAATTTCAACTTGATGTTCAATCAAATAAAAGCCCCAAGTTAAAAGAAATGAGAGCTAGAGACGTTTGAAAATAATAACAATTAATAAATTAATTAATTAATATATTAAAAGCCAGTGTTTCGTCACCTTTTACATGATCGCACCTGATCCAGTTCCCCTGGAGCAGGTTACACCACCCCATAATTTGGTGACCTCAACAGCAATTGTTCACCTAGGAAGGCCAACTGAAACTGAGCTCTGAAGTAATTCCTGCTCTACTTGCAGCTCTGACAATTCCTTCAGTTTGAAGAAGATCATTCGCCATATCTTGTGTTTGGTTTCTCCACTTGGGGAGGCCACAACCCAAACCAGAGCCTGGCTCCTCAGGCATAGTCTGCTTTGATCTGCAAGGCCTGAACAGACTGCTATTGTGGGTCTGTTGAAAACCTCCAGCGGCCTCTAATCCCTGGCAGCTCCATTTCCAGCAAATTCACCTCAAAAAAAAAAAAATCACAGAATTTAGGCTGGTTTTAAAATTTAAACACTCGAACAGCCATTTTAAGAGAAAAAAACAAGTGATTTTCTTGTATTACAAGCTTTAGCATTGACACATTCCACAATGTCAATCACCGTTGAAGGATGTGAATATAATACCTATACTTAAAGGATTAACAACAAGCATTTACAATTTATAATATTATAAATCCCTAATTCACACATATGAGAAATTCTTTAAGAAAGTTTGGAGGAACTAAGGGCACGCTACCCCATTTTTTGAGGCCCCTGAGAATGTGAAACATGACCATGCATGTGAACATGCAAAATTGTTCAGAAATTAGGCTAGATCCTAAAAAACATAATGACTCCCGTGCATGTGTGACCCTTACTGTAATTATCAACAGCTTGCGCCAGTGTGTTCAGTGTTCAGTTCAGCCCTGCTCAGTTAAGTGTTGAGGAAAACCAACTGACAGGTAATGAAGATACCTGTGCTTAGACTTGAGAATAACCAGTCACACTTCTCGTGTTGCATGAGTTATCTGTATCAGCTAAAGCTAACGTCAAAAGAAATGGACATGTGACTTACACAAAAACATCTGTAGAAACTTAGTATATTTCACCTTCAACTTCCCAAAACTTTGGAAACTTTGGGTAGTTTACAGCACATTTTTCACAATTTCTAGGGTTTTAAGCTAATGGGAAGTTAAATCATTGTTAGCAGAACACCATTTCTGTCCCTCAATATTCCAGAGGAGTGATATTTCAATATATCAAAGCATGTCTGTTCACATTAACAACATTTTACACGTCTGCATTGTGGTTTAAAAAGAAAAACATTATTTTGCATAAGTCACATTCGTCTTTCAACCAAATTAGTCTTTCTCTTACCGTCTGCTATTTGCTGAAGCTCATATTTCACGCTAGATAAGAAATATTTGGCAACGTCCAATCTGATTTCAAATTCCCTCACCAAATGCAGTAGATATTACACATTTTAACTGCTAAGCTGTACGAAAGAAGTTGACGAAACAGTCATGAATCTTGTCTATAGGTCAGCTTAGTCCTGTTTATAAACTGAGTCATCAGTCTTTGGTTGAGAAATTTTGCATGTAAGCTGATGCTTCTATCTTATATCTGCTAATATGTTGTGGGGCTATTTAATGGAGCTATAATTAAATATCTTTGAAAGCAATGGATAAGAGAGAGCATACTGTATCTTTTTCTGCCAAGTGGCAAAAAACCCTTAGGTTTTAAGCACTGCCATCATGTGATACTAATATCTAAATACACTATTTCTTTTTATTCATACACATCTCCCATCTTTGCATTTGCTGTTAGTAGAAGAATATCATGAGACTTCATACCCATTATCATAAGAGTTTACAAAATCGACAGATGTTGATACCTTGTACTAGGTGTAGTGATTTATCAATACCAGCACATACATACAAAACACACTCACACACAAACAAGCAATGCTATGATGCCCAATATAACCAAAACACAGTTTTTTATACATTAAAATAAACAAGTTAAAATAAATTCACGTTTTTAATTTAGCTTCACCAGGCAGACAAACGTGTATACTTGTGTGTGTGTGTGTGTGTGTGTCTCTCTCTCTTTATATCATGGGTGTGACTTTTCCCTGGCGCCAATCGGCTACCTGTGCTGGCTGGCTGCTGACCTAAATATGGGAGGTCCTTTGTCACTGTGTGAATGCTGTCCTCGGGGCAACCCGCCACCCAGTCATCAGACGTCCGAGTTTTGATGTCTCACTGCATAGTTTGTAAGCATACATAAATGTGCTGGGTGAATATGCGTGGGGTACCTCAGGGCTTAGTACTTAGCCCCCTCTTATTCTCGATAAACACACCGTCAGTGGGCTATGTGGGCTATGATAAAGCACAAAGCTTGTCCTATCACTGCACATACTATACAAGACTACCCATAGTTTCAGTGTGACAACATCATGATCTCGACTTGTATCTATGACTGCATTTCAATCTCAGCCTGGACAAAGATTCACTACCTTTTGGGTTCAACAATACTACTCCGAGAAAGAAACCGGAGAGTAGTGTTTGATGACCAGTTAAAGTTCACTGCCAACATGTTGAGGACTAGTCTTGCAGATTTGTTTTACAACTTCAGAAAGCCTACCCCATGTGTCTAGGTATGCTGCAGAGTTCTTAGTTCAGGCTCTCAGATGACCTAAAAGAGAAAACTGACTATAGATGATAATAAAAGTTTACTAATGCAGTGGTTCTCAACCCTTTTGACTTCAAGACCCCCCACAGTTCACAAGAATATTCAAAGGTCCCTCCTTAAAAAAAAAAAAAAAAAGTAGAACAATTATAAGTGTTAAAATTAGATTAAGTCTTATTTTAAAACATTTTGTCATCTTAAGACCCCTTGGAAGTTTGCTGAGGCCCCTAGTGGGCCCAAGCCCTCTGTTTGAGAACCACTGCTCTAAAGTCTATTATAGCACCCCTTGTGGTAACACTGAGAATGAGATGCATATTTGTCTCACAATGTGAATTTCAGAATGTGAATTGAGTGAAAGTGAACTTGCACAGCTATAAGCATTCACATACTCACATAGAGTAGGCTATGTTTTGGGTGTAAGAAAAGTATCAGTACAAAAGTGAACTATTTAACTCTAATTTGACACAAGACTCTAAAATGTTTTAATAAACAGCATTCA